CATGTGCAACATTTTGCAATAAATTTATTTATCGATCGATGCGGCAGCTCAGTTCAAAATATTGGCAGCTATAACTTTAATATTTCAATATTATGAGGAGAGTTGAAAAATGTGTAAATACTTTTAGTTCTCAAATAAGCTCCACTAAAAAAAGAACACAAAAGTATTGAAATTTTCGAATAGCTTCGGATGCGATTGTCATGCTATCAAACTGCTGTTGTCAGGTTTTATACCCTGTTAAAAGTGGAATCAAAGAGCTTATGAAAGTGGAGTGGGGAAGAGATATCGACTTTATGGAGTATATTTATGATCAGGTTGATGAGACTGCTTGAGATGTTGTGAAGTTCTTAATTTTGGAATCGAGCATACTCTTTGCACATGAAATGCTTATGTCAAATTATCGATAACTTATCGATAAACCATTTTTAAAATCGATTAATAGCCATTAGCGACTATCAGGCAATCTAAAAGCTAGTCACATTCAATATCATTTATAGGTTCTACTTGATAATACTTGATATACTTTATATACTTGATAACTGCTGCCATTCGATACAAATGTATTCTTTGAATAGAACTCGACAATGTTGTACTCATAGTTGGGTAAACGAATATTAAATGCAGCTCAGATTTAGATATTCGATAACTATTTATATTCGATAATGGGGTATTTTCCGAGATTTTAAATGCATATCTTGGTAATTTGTAGAGCTGGTAAAAAACATTTTTGAATAGTAACTTTTTTGCAACTCCCTTGCACTTCAGTCAGGTACAGGGCATCTACTAGTCAAGCACTCTTGACTAGAGCACTTTATCTTGTCTCTGTTGTAGCTTTTGTTGCTGTTGTTGTTGTTGCTGTTGGTGGTGTTGCTGCTGCTGTTGTTGGATGGTCCTCTACGCATTGGTATCAAATTTCATGGCTTTCACAAGGGTCCCCTCACAGTCGAGTGCGTGTTGATGACAGATTCTCTGTCCGCCGGGGCGTCGATTTTCGTTTCGTTGAAAGTCATTTTTACTCATTTATTGTCACCGTTAGTGGGCGCACAAGTGTGCGTCTTTATGTGTGCGTGTGTGTATCCTTACAAGTACATACACGGCGGGCAGTCAGAGCCCGAGCCCGAGCCCGTGCCAGAGCCAGAGCCTGGGTATTGATTCCACTTCCAGCGCCGCAGCGGGACGCCCAGTCAGTCAGCCCGTCAGTCAGTCCAAAGCCCAATTGACGTGACTCAACAACAGTCATGCTCAATATACATATGTATATATATATAAATATATAGGTATGGCTCTCAAACTGACTTCTCCTTTGGGCTCTGTTTGTGTACTTATTAAATATTTAAAAGCTTGGCCTTTGTTTCAGACAGCGTCAGCACGACAAATACTTAATAATAATTTTTAACAACTGCCGCAAACTCTGCAGGTTGCTGCCGCTGCCGCATTTGCCGCCGTCATGTAATTCATTTTCATTGCCCCGAACCCAGACATATCTGGGCAATCGGTCCTTTGATAAACTGCACGCACCACTGTGAAGAGACCTCCACATTTCAGAACTTTGAGTTACCCTCACATTTTAAATTATGGTTTGTTGCGTTTAAAATACAAATTACACGATACTTATGAGCACATGTATATATATATATATATCTATATGACTCATGCCGAGACTCATACAGCAAGTGGGTCATACAGGTAACACACAATGCATGCTTATTAAAGAATATTCCTGCCCATTTGGTTATTGTACAAGTATTTCTATAGAAAGGCCTTTTCTTTGGTTCACACACGCAACCATCAAAAGGAAGACACTTTAGAGTTGGGTTCCACCGAAGACAGTTAATTATGGTTTGTAAACGGTACCGAAGTTACAATAAATGGTAAATACCCGATGATTATTTGTTGCAGACGTAGGACTTAAAAAATAGTTCACAAGTATTTCCGGCTTAAATTCAATATATGACTTAAAGGATTGTTCATTTAACTGAAGATTGTGGAAAGGAAAACTTATATCAATATTGTCGGGAAATTGTCTGATAATTATTCATAACAGACGTTCGTCGAAATAGGAAAAAAAAAATAGTTGACAGATTCAATATTTAACTTAATTTAATTTAATTTAATTGAAGATTGCGGAAACTGTAAACTACATTAAGAAAGTTAAAGCGGCAAAATTGAGGCAAAATTGTATTTCAGACTTAAATTCAATATTTAGCTTAATTTAATTAAATTTGTCTGAAGAATGCGCACAGTGTTCATATATATAAAGTTAAAGCTTATATAAAGCATTTTTCAGTGCTAATCTTTTCAATTTTATATTTCCTTTAAAGCTTATTAATTGACACTTTTCTTGGAAAGTTAAAAGATTATTATACGTAATAAAAAATACGCTTTTCCCTGTTTTAAATAAATTTTTCAATTTATTATTTTTATTCAACCCAGCGAATTTCTTTAACCAATTAAGAAGAGGTAAAAAACCAATTTAAAAAAAAATCATTCAGAATTTCTTAGCCCCACTTTTAATATTCACACTCAGTTGAGCTGAAACCTTTTCACCCATTTCACAGCTGAGTTAATGCGCGCACTTTGGCAACATATATATTTCATATATATATATATATATATATTTCGTATATATATCTGGCAAATACAATTTGTTGTTGCTGCTCTTAAGTTCGTTAAGCGTGCTGCAAGAACTAAAGCTTTAGTTTAATTCACTCTGGAAATCTTGTGCAGTTTCCTTTCCGTTTGTCGCTCGAGTGTTTAATCTATATGCAGTTGCAGGGCTGTGAGTGTGTTAGCCTAAGCCCCTTTGGGTGCAGCTCGGCAGCTCTTAGTCCACTTCTCGACTCTTCACTGTAGTACATTCAACTAACACTCGTTTTAGCCGCAGTTAGCTGTTGGCTGCAGCTCGGACGCCAAAAACCTCGCTATGCGGGGCGGTCCGAAATAAAAAAGCCAACAACAAACTCAACTGCCATGCCAGGCGTGCCTATGCGGACTGGCAACCCCCTAACCCCGCTAACTAACCCCCTTCCCCCCCTAAGACTTTGCCACAGCTGGCTGCTGCACATGCAACTGCCGCTGCCGCTGCTGTTGCTGCTGCTGTTGCTGCTGCATTTGTCGTCGTCTGATTTCAGCAAATATTTGCAAATTTACGTTGACTGTGTGTAACCCCAGCTTGGCCCGTGACGACGACCCCGCCGGCGTGACAGGGGCGTGCGAGGAAGAGGGGTTAGCATGCCAGCGGCATTAGCGACAACTGTCGTAGAGTGGCACTTAATGAGCAACGGCTGCTGCTGCTTCTGCTGCTGCTGTGGCAGCTACTGCTGCAGTGGCCCGCATGCCACACTGTGCAAGCGAGAGGGCAACAAATAAAGTTAAAGTTATGCACGATGGCCATGCAATTGTCTGCCTGCAGCAAAATGTATCTTACGGATGCGCACTGTGGCTGGTACAAGAGTCGCCGCAGTTGCCGGTCGTCGGTCGACAGTTGCCAGTTGGCTGACTGCTACAGATTCTTCTTTAGCATTGCAGTAATTTGACTTGATTTGTTTAAGCTGCCACACACACACACACACACACACACACACGAACACACAGCCGCACAACCACCCGAATGGACCCCAACTAAATGACAAATGTGCCGCTGCCATGTAATCGCATTAAAGTCCAGTCGCTGCTGCTGCTGTTGCTGCTGCTGTTGCATATGTTACGCTCATTAAATTTGTATTTATAATAGTCGCCAGCTAAATCGCCTTACATTTGGCTACGCCCGTGCTTAGTGGCAATTATGGTAATCATCATAATTTTTCGATAGCAGATAGAAAATGTCGCTAGCTGCTGTTGTTGCTGCTGTCAATATGGTTGTTGTTGTTATTGTTGCTGCTGTTGTTGGTGCTGTTATTGTTGCTACTGTTGTAGGTGTTGTTGTTGCTTCCATTGCTGCTATTGCTGCTGTTGCCGTTGCTTGACTAGCCAAATTGCAAAATTAATTAAATTTTAGCACAACTTTCGAACGGTATAACAACAGATTCCTTGTTGTTGCTATTGCCGACTTTGTTGGATAACTCTGTCCCGTTGATTGGCGCGCTGTGGTTAGTCGGTTTGCCCATTGCTTGGCCAGCGGTTTGCCTGGCATAAAGTTGAATAAAATAAAAACGAAGGCAGGCAGCAGGCAGGCAGCAGGCAGGCAGGCAACAGTCCAACCCGCTCCACGTTTTAACATTTCTCGTACATGCAAGTGACAAGGCAATATCCGTCACGCAAACAACAGCAACAGCAGCAACAGCAACTACAGCAGCAGCAACACCCTGCCAACAGCAACAGCAGCAACAAGCACAATGGCAAAAAATCAATGGCTAATTTGGCTAAATTTGTTTCATTTAAATCTATATTCATCGATCTATTATATATATATATATATATATATATATATATATATATATATATATATATATATATATATATACCTAATAGATCGATATGAAATATGAAACAGTAAATACATTTTAATGTTATATGTTTGAAATCCTTGGCTTATAATGCTTTGTAAACTGTTATCGACTTATCGAATATCGAAAAAGAAACGGCTTATAATTGCATTTACAAGTTGTTATCGATGTGTCGAACATTAATGCATACATTTCTCAAATTATTATTTTAATTTTTGAGCAATTTAAGAAGTTTGCATTAAAAAAAGAAACAAACAAATAGACCAAAAATACCAAAAATATAACAATTTTCCCATATCAATTATATTATAATATTGATTTAAAAGTTGCTTTTTAGTATTATATATATTATATATTATATATTATATAATTTATTTGTCTTATTATCAATTATTTATTATAATAATATTGTAGTATGATTATATGTCATATATAATATATCGCATATTTTATATAATTTATATTTTATATGGTTAAATACGTATTGGGTTGAATATTTCTATAAAATCTACTTTATAAATATGATAAAATATGTATTAGTTATAATAAACTTACAACTTGTTTATCAAAAACTATCGGTAGCTGTTGCGATAATAGAAGTATCTGAAAGATATAAAATAAATAAAACATAGGTTAGATATTGAAGAAAAAATGTTGTATAACATATATATAAAACTATTATTTATCATAATTATATTTGTTTATTATAATTATAATTGTATTATTTATTATCAAATGCAATACTTTGTATAATTAAATTATTTTATATTTTCTATTGTTTTAAATAAATAGCTATAGTTCGAGTGGATTGCTTAAAGGCAAAATATAAAAAAAAAAAATAAGTTAAGCTATCAAATAGCTGCCGCATATTTTCCTATTGTTGAATTTCTAGGAATTTTTTGCAAGATATCAGTACTAAAATTGGCTCTAGGCGTAGCCTAGGGCGGAATTTTTTTTTCTAGAGTTGCTTTGTTCTACTTTTGAACTCGCTTGGAAATGCTATGGATGAAGATCAAAGAGTCGCCGCTTGCACTATCTATCTGTGCGTACGCTCAAGAGTATGAACATATTTTAGCTATAAGATATATCAAATAATACCATCTTAAAGGCAGTCTATTTTTTTTTTTTTTTTGGCTCATTTTCAGCTTAATAAATATATTATTCATAGTTTATCTGACATGCATATATTATCCAAGCCTAACTGTTACTTGATATGCCGACACTTATCTTGGGCAAACGCAATTACTTTGACGCAATCTGGACAGGATTATGGGCAACCACTATATAAAGCACATTCAACATATGGCCTATATGTTTGTAATATGCAAATTGGATTGGCCAACGAATTGTTTTGGCCATTTAACTGCCATTATTGTCCACTGTGCCAAAGCTGTGTGCTGTGGTTGTTGTCCTGGTGAAATTATTATTCATCGCTTGTAGAACGACCACACGACGTCGCAACGCTGCTGCTTTTGCAGCTGGCGTTGGCTGTGACTGTGGCTGTGTCTGTGACAGCGCTGCCGCAGTTGGCGCACGAGTTAATTACGGTCCATTAGACTGCACAAGGGGTGTTTATTACCACATCAGTGGCGCCGCCGTCACCGCCACCACCAGGACACACACGCCATTCGAAGGCGGCCGGCAACATGATTGAAACTAGAAATTTGCTCTCTATGCCTGTGTTTGTGTGTGTGTGTGTGTGTGTGTGTGAGTGTGGACATGAAATCAGTTAGAAAATCAGCTTTGACATGGAAATTGCGTCGAGCTGCAAACATCAAGTGGAAACAACTTTGCTTTAGTTCTGTAAGATCCACCCGAAGTTACCCTGAGCCCATCGACGAGCTGCCAGTGCTTCTTCTTCTCTAAGCTCCACACTACGGCAAATGCATTCTGGCATAACTTCGGTGCTTATAGTCCGATCTTTATTGAATTTTCAGGGCCTTAAAAAGACGCCTTAAGGTGTGTGCATTCCAAGGCGCAGGGCTCTGGATTTGTTTCAATTCAGGTGAAAGTTTTTGGAGGAGGTATACAAATGTAAATAATTCTTTATCTAGCTCTATTCGAGTTATGCTTATGAAGCCATGTCTCATAATCGATATTTATCAATATTTTTGGAAATCGTTTAAGATAATACAAAAGCCATGTCGATAAACAAATTCAAATGCTCTAGCTCTTATAATAGCCGAGATTTACGCCTGACAAACGCGACAAATTGACTCAGTTTGGCGTGTTCATTAAGCACATATATCTATACAAATATATCTCAAGCATTTGCACAAAATCAGTCTACCCAATAAATCCACTTTCAAAGTGTTTCAGAGCGAAAGGAAACTCATTGAAAGTGCGCATTCGTTTAGCCCAATTTCTGATTGAGAGATCCGAAAAGCTGACGTCACGCAGGTTCCACGCACTTCTCTAATTGCGACGCAGGCGCTTTAGAGTCCAGAACAGAACCTGGCAATTGGACAAAGGCTAACGGTAGGCCATTGTTGTACCGGGGACCGGTGACAAAAATTTATTAAAATATTACGCAAGGTTGGGCAGCCAGTTTGCTGAGCGCACGAGGGCCGAGAAGCCGGTAGGCCGGGAGGGGAGGCCAGATGAACTTGTGTTGTGTTTGCATAAAACTTTTTTTGCCAAACAAAACTTAGCTTTTCCCTTGTCAAACCGACAAAACGACAGCTCACGGCTCCTTTTCGATACACTGTTAGAAGAAGGTTAGAAGGGTATATTGGTGATGGTTAACTGACCTTCAAAAATTGCAGATGTATTATATATGTCTATTTAGAACATAGCCAAAATTGTTTCTCATACATTTTGAAAGTCACAGTCTTAGCAGTACAGTTTAAGAGTCACCCCAATTTTATTAATTGATTAGCTAGAGATATCCTAAAGGGATTTAACGCCCACTACCCATGTCACAGTTTGAAAGCCATAAGTCTGAGCTAAAGTTTGGGGGTTACTGGCGCAATTGTTTTTTTCTCTTTAGTATGGTTAATCATAAATGTGCGAACCTTTAAATTTATCAAAGCTATAGCTTCTACCGTTTTGAACTCACAGTTTTAGAGCAACTGCTAAAATTCTTCCTAGATGATTTCCAGGGCATCCTTACAGTCGGCAAATTTGGGCAGCAAAGTTCTTACGGCGTTTGTTTTTTTTTCTTATTGTGCGTTCGCCTCGCAAATTTTCAACAAATTTAGAAGAGCGGAAATTGCAAAGCATTCAGCGAGTTGAGTCGAGTTATTTGTACGACTGCGTGCAGCGGGCGGGGACGTAACAAAAAAAAAAAAACGAAAGGAAAGAAAGAAAAGGGAAAAGGAAAAGTTTTTGCTACCCCGAAAGTTTGGCATACGGATTTCGAATTGTAGGAGTTTGGGTGCCATGGAGCCCAATGCTGGGGGCAGCAAAGGCGTTGCAGCGTCGACAAAATATAAAAACTTTTCGCGTTGTTTACATAACAAAAGCAGCATATCGGGGTTGGTAGGGGGGATATAGAAAGCGGGTGGGCGGTGTGGCTGGGTGGCCTGTCAATTTGTGCATTGGAATTTAACAACATTCAGTGCTCGTGCCCAGCCCGACTGCATGCACATAAATTGAAGTTTTATTGTTGCTGCCGCTACTGGCCATAAACAAAGTAATTAAACGCAAAAGCCAAGCAGTCAACAACAGCAGCAACAACAACAACAACAACAACAACAACAACAACAACAACGACAAGGAGCAGTAGCCAAACGCAATTAAAGAGTTCAGAAAATGATTTTTTGTTTGGCTAACCGATTCGGATCCATCTCTGCTTTATATCACATCACATGTGCCACAAAAAGGCGCAAAGGCGTAAAATTCAAGACAAGAAAAAACAGCAGTTCATCAAATAGCCGAACTTGTAATACCCTAGGCAGACGGAGAGTAGATCAAGAAAATTCGGACTTGATTCAAGCTAACTTGTTTTAAGCATAATTCTCATTATAAAAAACGGCTTGCATTTGAATTAAATTTTTTGTTAGCATTTAAAGTCTAACAGAAGGAATCGAATGCAAAAAAGATTAAAGATTAAAGACTAAAAATTGTGTGTAAATATTATTTTAAATAATATTAAATAAAGCTATTGCTGTCCTAGGTTTAGCCCAAACTAGTTTATATTACTGTTGCATCTGCATATAAAAAGAAAGAAATCTTAACAAAATGAGGAAAAATATGTTTTGCAATAGAGTCTGTATTGATTCCATTAGGCCGGCCAAAAGCTGAATCCAAGGCAAATTTCAAGAGCATCTAGGCTCACGGAACAAACCCAACAAAAAAGTCGTTGGTTCGATTCAGCTAATGGCTCGCCTAGAACTTCGATTCGTGGTTTTCACTTTTATCGGTTAGCAGCCCTGGTTCTGAGCGCCTATAGACGTTAATCCTTATACATGCCCTGATTCTCAGCTGCTATTGATGTTGATCCAAGGCATATATAACTCTATAGCTCCTTAAATTACACATTCAATAACATATTCATAATGACCGCGGTTAGTGTATTATATAAAGAAAAATCTGCAATTGCTGCTGCATGCAAATAAACAGACTTCAGCAACGCGGCGCTAATTGACGCGACTCCAAAAATAACGATGCTGACAGTGACGCCAGCGGCGACTGCAGCTGCAACGGCGACGCAGCAAAAGATGAAGACCAACAATTGGAGCTGTTGACCATTGTTTTTGTTGTTGTTGTTGTTGCCAGCGCCGCTGCTTTGGCGGAGTGACTGACTGACTGACAGAGGCTGCCTGATATATGTCTCTGTATGTGTAGAGATGGGCGCGTGACACGCTCAAATGTCACGCGGGTCGACTTTTTCTCAATTATAGCATGTAAATTAAAATTAATATCTATAATTATATATATGTATATATATATATATATATATACCTATAGTATTTATAATAAGCATAATAATAGTAATAATAATTAAAATAATAATAATAATAACAAAATAATAATAATAATAATATTTTTTGTTACATTTGATTCTGTTCAGAGCTGCAAAATACAGCAAATAAATCAATTCAGCTTGATAAATATAGAAAAGAGCCTACAAATTTTTAATAATTAGTTTAACTTCGAGAAAAGATTATGTATAATTTGTACAACTTCTCGTCTTTTCCTTCAACTGTTAAACGTTGTTCATTACAATCTTAAATTATGTAAATTTCATAATCGATTTATGAAAATTTGTACAAGCTTCTGCGCTATATTTGATGAATGTAAACTTCGCATCTTTAAGCTGTTTCTTAAGCGAATATCACGAGACAGCCACCAGATTTGATAGTATTTCGTTGTTATTGTCAATTAAGCACTTAAATTTAAGCATTTTATTGTATTTTTATGGCGGAAATTGCTATAAAAATGTTCGCTAAAGTTTTTCCAAATTTAATGTTGGGAATTGATTAAATTGATGGGCCTTTTTATGATAAACAGACTGTAATTAAAACTAGACGCTTTTAACATTTGCTTTAGATAGATATGCGATTAATGATCGTGTCACGCGCGCATCTCCGGCTTGTCGTGGCGATCTTTAATGTCTGCTTGGGGCCGTCGCCTTGATGACTTTCTGCTGCGGCGTCTTA